GCCTTTACTCTCTCCTGCATCAGTAGGGTGGAGACATAGATGAGCTGGTTCCTCTTGTCATCCCAATAACAGCACCAGCCAGGAATTTTAGAGAGGGGATAAATTTCCCTCTAAGAGACAATGCATTTTTGGTAGTCTTTGTTTTAAGGAAAATCAAGAGCAGCATAGGAAATTTTTCTTCCTTTTCCATTGCTGAAGATACTCTCTCCCACCGTTCAGGAGTTGGTATTTGTGTGTTGGCCTGTACACAAGTTGACAGATCACTGTTGCATCCTGGACCAAGAAGTGTGAGGTCATCTTGCTTGTGCTTAGGTAGCAGTTAGCAGGACCTGTACCCTTGTCTGTTGGAGCAGTTCAAAATGTCACTGCTGCAAATGATTGCAGATAAAAATCTATTTTGAATAGAATTAAGGAGACACAAACACTTCCAGAAGTGCTAATGCTATGTATTTCAGCAAGACCCTATAGAAAACCCCATGGGTTAAGGGGTCTTGATTGCCTTGCTATTCACTGACAAGCATTGCAAAATATTTTCTATCAATCCCTCTAAGAGCTGTTGCATGGTTGAACTGACAGTGTAGAAATCACATGTCGTAGCTGAAAGAAGCTTTTCTTTTTGCCAGGCTGTGTCTAAAAATGTAAACATGTTTCTTTCAAAACCACCTTTATTTCTCACTTGGCAGACTCCCTATTTTCCTGCTGCAGACCTCATTCACAACATGTTTGCAAATGTACTAACACAGCCTGGTTAAAGACAACTGATGCTAGCAAGTCCCTAGTCCTAACCCTGGCACTACAGGTGTCAGGTAACTAAACTAAAAATTCTAAGCTAAAAAGTCTTTATAATAAACTAAAACCTAAAAATGAAGTTCTTTGCAATAATTACTTTCAAAGCTCACAGAACTGAATAGAGAAGACCTTGTCTATAGTACATCTATATTAAATTTTCACTTTTTTTCCCCTAATTCTAAAGCAGGGGGATGGTTATTACATCCTACAGAAGAACTAGAAACTAGGCTGTGACATTTTTGTTAAGCTCCATAGATTTCTGAGCATCTCAGGGACAGAATCAAAATCGTATTTTTGAAAATACCTATTGAATATGAGATACATTTAAATACTTCTTCCTTTCTGTTAGAGGCATGTTAATAACAAAAGGGTGATTGTTAGGAGCACAAGGCAAATGCCTAGCTGCATGAAAATAGCTGACAACTGCTAATGTTCAATAATCTCATCTGATAAAACCACGCAGAGGGAGTAATTGCATGAGGGTTTCAGTAAAAGAATGTGCAGCTGGTTTTTCTGGCCTCCCCCAAGCAGCCTGCGTTCCCGTAAGCGGTGCTATGGAATTGCCTCCCGGTTTCCCTTAGACCGTCGGTCTGGACTGAGTAGCTAATTCTGCCTTTACCTATCAAACAGCTTTAGCCAGTTTGTCTCTGTGGATGTAGCTGCCACTGAACACGGCAGGGAGCGAGACCACAGGGCTCTGCATCTAGGGCAGAGCTGGTGCTGGTGTCCCAGGAAGATGAGGACCTGAGGGGACACAGTATCTCTCCAGAAGCTACAGAGCAGCTGTCTAAAGCCCTTTGCTTTGGGTGATCCAAGGAGTGGGACTGAAATGCAGCAGTGTTGATATGCGAAAACGGTGCAAATTGCTGAAAACAAAGAATTGTGAGCTTCAATTTTGCGTGGATCTGAAGTGAAAAACCACACCGGTGTTCATAGTATTATGCCTGAGGACATTATTTATTCCATTCATATAGCATGATTCTGTTTTTAATGAGCAGGCAGAAGTACTTGGCAGGTAAATGGCGTAGTCATGGACTAAGTATTGGCTACTGTGAAACTGAATTCTGCACTCATGTCTAATACAAACAGTAGTGCACACACAGAGAGTCTGATATTCCCAGAGAAACCAGGGCTGACATTTAACTGCCCCGGGAAGAGAGGAGGAAATTAATGCAGTGGGTATGGAAGACAGAGACTTGACACAGCGAGAAGGAACAAGCAGCAGAAAAGAGGTGAATGGGTGGATGGTGAGTCAGTGATATTTTTGTTGAGCTTATGCATGTGTTTATTTTCTGGGTGTGATATCCGAATTAAACATTAGATATACCTAAAGAATGGATACATATACATACTGTTGAGTGTTCTTAGCTACTGGGACGCACATGGACACACAAACACCACAAGAAACAATATTAAAAGAAGCCTATTAAGGCTGCAAGGTCACTTGTTCAGAATTACGACCATCAGAGCAAGCCTATTTCTTCTTTCTCTGTGCTTATGCATCATAACCCAGTTTTTAATTACACAGTAACAGGTTTTTAAATTTTTTTTCTTCTGTAGGGCACCTGCCTAAGTCAATGCACACAATGGGCAACATATACTCTAAGAAGGTAATATTTCCCAGTTCAATATACACCCTATTTACTGTGTGTTGTCCAGCCCTGGCTCTGGAGAAGAATTATCAGTTAGGATGTTGCCTGTGGATCTTGTCACCATCACATCTTGAGTGCTGCACAACATTAAACATTTAGTTTTCACCCCTGAGATGTGTGTAATTCCCACAGAGAGAAGGTGATAAAACACCAGAAGCCACATGCTGTCTGTCTATTATGGGGTCTTCTACAGAAAATGCCAAGGAACTGGTTTTTCAGACAGATTAGTATTACACACTTCTTGGACCATTCAAAGTAGAGTTCCTATTGGCTTTGGTCACAGTCCTGCGTTTCAGACTTCCATGAAGCCAGGCCATTCGCTCAGAGAGAAAAAAACATGCAAATAATGGTCATTAGGGTTAAATGCAGGTTGGAATGATTTGCCTGGCATTCTGTGACAAGCCCATATGGAAATTAGTTTCCCATGTAGCCTTCAACTGCTTCAGCCATTATGCCTTAATTTCACTTGTAATCTGGCTCAGCCATTTTGTAGCTTCCAACTCTTGCAACAGCGGAAGCAGGGATCTAACAGACACTAATCTCCTTTGCTACACAATGCCAGGTTTTTAATTTTTTTTTTCCAGACTGATACCCATTTGGGCCATCAGCATGGGTGGGATGTTTGGTTGCTTACCTCTGCACCCTTAGCTCATGAAATACCTGGGCTGAACTGATCTCCTCCAGCAAACACTTGGTTAAGGGTAGTACAGTGCTGCCTCTGCGCATCCCAAGTCTCCTGCTCTGGTAACTCAGTCACTCTCAGGGTTCCCCTAACATTGTAATCTGTCCTGACCCCCGTGCTTGGCCAGAACCAATTCTGTCCCACTCTCCACAACCCCCTTCCAGATTTTTTTCATTTTCCCCCAGTTACCTGTCTGCGGCACTGATTCCCAGGGCTCCCCTGCCTGCCTAGCCAGCTCTGTCTTTAGCTCTCAGTCCCAGTCTTTACATTCGCAGGTTTTCTCCCTGTAGGTGGTTCTCGCTCTTAGTTTCTTCCCATCTTTAATCTGGGCTTTTTGTGCCTATTTGCTCCCAACTCTAGTACAGCCGAAGGCTTGTCTCCCCTGCACCACGCACGCTAACACAGGTGGCCCTGACTATCTGCAACACGTTCTTTAGTTTTCCCAGTTCTTTTGGTGCAACTTTTACTGGTGCCGAGGTGGGTCAATGGTCTCCTGAGGCTGACGACAGCCCCACCCTATAGAAATGAGTCAATGAGCTATCAGTTCCATACCTCCCACTTTCCCGTGATGGGGAACCGATTTCTATAGTGCTGCCTGGCTGCCATGGGTGAGATTTGAGGTCATTCCCAAACCTGCTTCTCTCATCCTCTTAAATATGTAACTTGGCTGCCAAGTCATGGATATGTACTTGGCAGCCTGCAATAGCAACTGGAAACACAACGTACACAATATGATTGTCCAAAAAAAAAAAAAAAAAAAGAGTTGGCTGTAGAGAACGGAGCCAGAGCTGAATTTTCAGGCTGATGTGAGATTCTTGCTTAGCTATCCATGAACTGATTGTGTTTGCATGGATAAACCTTTACAGAGTACCTACAGGAGGAAAGATGCAGTGTTTGGAAGGCTACTGAAATGGGGGGAAGTTAGGGACAGGTTGTTTTATGGAAATTTTCTTTCCCCGCGTTTTATTGTCCATGTATTCTTTCATGTGGTCATGAACATCTCAGTGCTGCTTTCAGTATTTTCCCTAGTTATAAACTTTTGCAAAAACGAATGATGCCATCTTTAAGAGGTGAAAGCATAGGGAATGTTCCTTCTGACTTAATGAACTGAGCTGTCTAAAAGTCTTAGGTCAGGTATTTTCATCTCTTCAAAGTACATACTGGCCTAGTGCAGCTGTACTAGCAAAATTTTCCTAGATTGTGGCTGGTTTTCACCTTATAGCTGACCTGATCTATTGAGGGGTGTGGTCCTCCCCGTCCCCTTATCTTTACCTGCAGCTCTGCTGGCCCTTCTCTGACTGCACCATGAACTGATGTAAAATGCTAACTTAACAGAAAGCTTCTTGTTTATTTTTTCTGGATTACTATTTTTGACAGTTTAGGGAGCTGCCTTGCTGTGGGGACAGAGAAGATAAAGAATCAACACAAAGATAAATGATGGGAAAACTTTGATGGCAGCGAGAATGCCTCTTCCATCAACAACTAGCTATTAGACTGGCTTAGCTGTAACGCAAAACCTCACCCTTCATGGGGACTTGATTTCTATTGGCAAAAAGGGCTATTGTCTATGTAACTTGTACCAATTTTGGGTGTGATCTAAGCAGTACCAGTTATACACGACACTGTTCCACTGTGAATGACTAGTATGAGAGATTTTCTGCTCGCAAAAACAGTGCTTCACAACATCCCAAAGCTCAAAACCCCCCTCTCAAAATCATGCTCTTGAGTGACCTGCCCTCACCTACGGGAATTCTGTCCAGGGGCAACCTGCAAATCTCGAGCTGATGGCTCACACAGGAGCTAGGCCACGTCTCAGGAGGCTTGTGACCTGATAGATATACTTTTACATCTTGTAAAGTCCCAAGCTAAAGTAAAGTATGTTGAAGAGTCCGAGCGCTATACAGACATCGGTGCCTGTAACAGAGGGACCGGGTGCAGCTGCCTCCAGTGCTGCCAGTCCTGGGCCAGCAACCAGGAAAAGCCCTGTGGCTCCCGACCGCCAGAGAACACGGCAAGCCCACGTGAGTGGCTGCGGAGATGTTATTGCATGGAAAACACTTAATTTGACTAAAATTTGACTTTAATTGGACTAAAACATTACCCAGGGAAGCTGTTCAGCAGAGCAGAAGGAGCAGAGCACACAGACCACGAGTCCACAGCACAGCTGGAGGGGGATTCGTGTGCTGGGATCCGCGGTTCCTTGGGGACAGCAGGCTGTCACCAGGATACTGCCGCAAACAGTGCCTGCCTCGACCCGGTGCTGCGGGCAGTGCCCCAGGCCAGCGCCATGCTGTCTGTGAGTCTCCTCACCTTTCCCAGCTCCATCTTGTTGCTGCTGTTCATGTTTGCCTCTGCAGCAGGTCCCGGGGGCCACGGGAGGCCCCATGGGGTGGGCAGGGACCCGTCCCACGGCCCCAGCCAGGAGCAGGGTGGCCGGGGACAGTCATTCAGCTATTCGTATCAGTGAGAAGCAGCTGAGATGTATTTTGAAGACACAGGAGTGGTATTTTCTCCTTCCTGGGATGTGTTGGTAGGCCTTGCTCTGCCATACTACCACCTTCTCTATTTTTCTGTTTTCCTTTCATGGCTCATAATCCCTTGTGTGTAACACAAAGGCAGAGCATTTGCATGGCCTTTTTCTTCTGTAAACCAGTATTAGAAAGCTGGAACCGAAGTAGAACAGACAAGTTGAAATAACCACTTTTTGTCAAAGGTAATCCTTTGACATGGTTTCCTAATGCTCATCTCTGGTCTAACCGTCGCACGGGCTGCTGGCGTGTCCCGTATGCAGCGCTCTGCTGCCAAATTAGATTGAGCAAGAATTTGTGAGAGCCTTGTGGCTGGCTGAATGGTACCTGACAAAAAGTCATAGAAAGCCTTGAAGTTTTACTCGGTTTAGATTTGTAGGCAGAAGGATGTCAGCAATAAGAGCAATTTTGCTTTAGAGATGACCTGCAAATAATGGTTAAGGATTTCTAAGTCTCTCTTGTTAATTAAGAAAGGACTAGTAGAACTTATTTGTTTCCAGGGGATTTTTTGTTATGGGTTTTTAAAAAATATATAGATACTGTAAAATGCTGTTACTAGTATTTTTGTCCAGTGTCCCCTGAAGGGTGTACCTGGTGTTTATTTAAAGTTCTCAGAGTATCAGGAAAGTGCATAACATACTCAATTTTTAAACAAAGGCTTCCTTTTTCCTGATACTTAGTCTCTACAATTACATAAATATTATTTTAAAAACCCAAATAAAAGCAATGTGGTGTTTAATGCATGGCTCCGTTTGACTTCTCAGTCTTTATTGAGTCACTGGCAATCAAAGAACTGATGTTCCTTAGCAATCTTTCAATTATTTATTCATAACCTGAAAGACATAAAAAAGGACAGATACTGTTCAAATAACTCACACACAGACGACAGCTGAGTGAAAAGCAGACCGAAGAAAGACAGAAAGTGGCCTGTATGCACAGTGCTTGCATTATAAATACTTTTTTGGACTGAGAACTTGAGCATAGATTTATGACATGTACTCTATATGCTGTTTTCTTGCAGACGATAAAACTAACTCCAGGCATGTGGTACTGGAAAGATGATACTAACACACTTGAATTTGCAAGGTAAAAGAATGATGTTTGGTTTCAAATTATGCAGGTTTAGGCTTTGATACAGCAGTACCAAGTAAGGTAAAGTCAGATTCTAATATTGTTTTGCCTGAACACCAACTGCAGGACAACTTTTTTTAATTACTTTTTATTTTGATTGAGACTGGAGCTCCTTAACGGTTGCTCTGTGGCATTTATTGCATCATGTTAATGGAGAAAATCAGAAATATGCATGTACTCCACACTGTTCTCAAGCTGAACCCACCACAGAGGGACGGCTAAAAGCGTGTGGTGAGTCCTGCCACGTGTCAGAACTGTGCACCGTGCACTGGAGCAGCAGTGCTGGACGCAAGGGCCAAATGCCACCCCAGGTGTCTATAGGTGGAGATCCGCAGACTGATGTTCCCTGTTGCTGGTGTTACGTATGACCCTGTGCAATGGTGAGCACCAGAGGACTGCAGACCTTTAGGGAAACCACAGCTTTGCAGGGGACAAAGTGCATGTAGCTGTGCTGTGAATTTCTGTGGCAGTTGTGAACTAATCCACTTTATCATTTAAACTATTGGGGGAAAAAAAACCCCAACACCCAAACTATATCCCTCCTGGTCTCTTCACAAGTGCAGGGCAGGGAGCGCGGCAGAGCGTGGTGGCGGTGCGTCAGTCACACGTTCCCTGCTGCTGCCTCCCTGCCCCGCCGGGCATTTTCCAAGGCTTCGTCATGGTGGAGCCAGGCTGCTCACCTCCCTGTGGCCACATGGCTACTGCAGGTGCCTTTCATGGTCTCTGTCTCAGCTGCTCCAGCCAACTTCTCTGCTGGCTTTGGGAACGCTGCTGACTCTGCCCAGTAGCTCTCCAGGGAGAGGAGTAAGCTCCTGTCTTCAGCAATCCCAGAGAAAAGCTCTGGAACTGAGCAGTTTACATTTAAAATCTTCTTAAAGCCACTTGCGACACTGATCGCTCGAAGTGTTTACATGGTGCAGTGCGTACGGTGGCAGCAGGCAGAGCAGGAAGCCCTGGGGAAGCCCCTTTACTCTTTGCTTCTGTGTTCTCGAAAGCCATGTCTCACGTGGGCCTCACCACATCCCAGATGTTTTCTTAGTGTCAGTTAGAGGCCAAAATAGATATGCCTTTGTATCATGGGATGTTGACCTCTTTGCACTGCTGCTAGTAATTTAAATTCATACTACTGCATGCTTATACCCTCTATTTCAGCTCCAGTCCAGCAGCTGAGGAAAAACTTAAGGAAGGAGGAAATACTCCCTTTCAGGAAATGCATGTCAAGACATTAAAGAGGTATTTCCATTTGACTAGCCTAGCTCAAAAAGACACAAGATCCTTTGGGTGGGAATATTTTCATCCATTGTCTCAGGATCATGCCTGAACAAAACACGTGAAGCAGGAAGCCAGCTGTCATTTCAACAGCATGGATGAGTGGTCTGAACATAAAAACAGAGCCAGACATGCCTGGTGTTCAATGCTAGCTCAGGCACTAGCCTGGTACGACTTTGGTAAAGTCATTCAGCATCTTTGTTGCTGTTTCCAGATAGCTCAGAATGAGGTAATAATTCTCATCTACCCTAAAGAGTATTGTGAGGTAATTAATTCATCTGTGTAAGGCACTTCAAAGATTAAAGTATTATTATTATTATTAATTTTATAAATCCACAACATGGTATAGCTGACTTTCATCCATTACTTAAAACGTCTTTGATCTAAATAATATAGTCACAATTTATTATATTAGCAACTAAAAGAGCAACTCCAGACGCAACCTTAGAGGTGAAATGTCCTATTTTTCTCAACATCCCCAGCCTGTTTTGTGGTTATAATAGTTGAAAGTTAGTTCAGGATACCTGCCAAACACATTTCACTGCCTGTCCCTTTGAAACTGAGAGCAATGAACAGAGTACATACCAGGTAGATAATCTTAATGTTCTCAGACTGGAATTAACACTGTGTCCTTAAATGTTATGTATTGGTCAACCACTAGCATCTTCCAAGATGATTGCAGTGCAACACTCCCTGAAAGAAGGCTGGCTGACACAGAAGGAAAATTGCATAGGCTGTCAAAGTGGGTACAACATGAATATGTGACGTTGGATGATGTAAAATGTGAGTAATTGCTGGTATTTCGTTATCAGCAACACATTGCCCAGACAAGTTAGAAAGCAATTGCTACTAACACTAGCAATTTTTTTGAGGTGATACTGTTTTTTTCCTCTGTGTGTTTTCAGATGCTGCTTTGCTTTTGAAAGAAGCAAATGAGTCACTTCACATGCTATCATTTGCCACAGTTATGAGGTATGTCATTTAGAGTTTGTTTCAAGAATTGTGTGTGTGTAGTTGGTAGTGGAGGGACGAGGATGTATGAGAAGTAGAATATGAAATATCAGAGGTTTAAAATCTCTCACCTGTAAGGTTCAGTGGGAAACAATACCAAATGCATATTGTCCTCAACATGTGCAGAGAAATAATCCTATCACCTGTTTGAAAGCCTTCCACACTGTTACCTAAAGGAAGCCAAGAACTTGGGCCTAAATATCTGAAGGTTGTTATCCATTTTACTCTAAGTTAAACTCCATGTTAGCCAGCGCGTCCACAACACTGCGTGCACCACGAGTGCTAACGCGACTGGGCATCCGGGCTGCCTTCCTGTGCTGCTGCTGTTCCCGTCAGAGCTACAGGGATCGTTGTTTGCTGCTGTCACATACCAGCATTACTTCTCAATAGGCCAAAAGCGAGGTGGCAGCAGGCAGAGCATTATATCTCAGAGGCATATCCCTGAGATCACCAGGGCCATACACGGGCTGCATTGCCTTTGACTTAGGAATGTATCTGTAGACCTTGTTGAGCCTTAGCCATACTTCTCCTTTCAGAAGGAGAGACGTGTCCGAGTTGTCCCGCTTTTCCTTTGAATGTGAATGCCACTCTTCCAGCATGTTCAGTGCAGAAAACATGCTTCTTGGAAGTATGTCTGGTAATATCCAATTCAATCCACTCTTCAGTGTGTTGTTGGACTCTGTTAGTGATTCTCTAAAAGCCTTCAAAGTCTTAGGGTGGGGTGGAGTGCTTGCCACGAGTAGGTCTCAGCCATATAGCTAATATTTGGTATAATGCAGGCTCTTGAGCAGAGACTTTGTTCTTTTTCATAGTGGTCTGATGGTGTCTATATCTGCAAATCTGCAGACTTCACAGTGACCTTTTCTACCTTCTGTTTAGGAATGAGAAGCTAGATGAGTTCCTCATGGCCCTGCTCTTCTACCTGTCTTTTTACCTGGAAAAAATTGCCTTGGAAAAGAAATGCAGAACCTTGATTTCGTAAGTACAAGACTTCAGGGATGTAAGTACACAGAGCTTGCCCCAGAAAATCTGGGATCACAGGGCAGTCTTTCGTGTCAGAATCAGTGGGATTCTGCGTATGAGGAAGGACTGCTTGCTGTACTGGCCCAGTCTATATATAGAATACCAGGGAGAAAAAACCCTTGGTATCACTGCTTATATCTCCTGTCCCCTTGTCCTCTGCGCTCTCCAGGACATAGGCCCCTCTGACTATGTAGAGAGATAGATTTTCTGGGAGGGTTTGAACTCTGCTTTGCCCCAGCCTTGCCCTGAGCTCTGTGCACTGTTGTTCATGTAGCATGGCATCACCATAGTCTCCCTTTCAAAACGGTGGCTGGATCCAGTCCTGCTGCAATGGGGTCACCAAATAATTTGGGTCCTCAAGGTAATGCTGCAATTTTAATAAATCATTACTACTACCACCAACGTTAAATCTATGTGAGTGCCCTAGATGGAATTACCATCCCTTAATGCCATTTCCCAGTAATAACATTAGCATCCAGTCATTTCTGCTTGCAATACAGAGCAGCAAATAGTTGCAACTGAGTCTGCTGGGTGTTAATTTGTGCTGTGGGTCACATTGCTTTAAGACTTCATTTCTAAATACTTTGCAAAGCAGGTTCAGATGACTCTTACGTGCTAGAAACATGTTACAACGTGAGGAATATATGCTAGGAAAGCAGTTCCCAAGTAAGGGTGTGTGACCACGCTTGCTACCTTGCAGAGTGGAAGTGGGGATGCCAGGGGAATAGTTTAGGAGCTGCTGTGTTAGAGGGTTATATGCCTTAGGAGAAAGCATTGCAGAGTTACAAACCATGATTGTAAGAAACTTCAATGACTTTCTGGAGTCTATAATAGTCTCTGAGAATTGATTGACCATTTTCTTAAAACACTTAATGATTACTTACTTCATAATTCATGAAGCCTTCATATAAAGAGGGGCTGATTTATCTGGAGTGAAGAAAAGACTGTTGGAGGATTACTGGCTTTAAGGAATTGATTTGTTCTACATCCATAGATTGACAGGTTTTTCTTTCATTGTGCAAGGAATAATTCATGACTAAAGAAAACCATCAGCGTCATTTCATATACAAAGGCTGTAGGTTCAGTTGAGGTGCTCTGGGCTGCAGTTTACAAAAGGATCCCCCGCTCTTGGCTGGTAAAGGACAAGGAGGCGACTCCATGTGTGTACTGCCTCTCCGCTTCTACAATACTGTTTTAATTAGATTCATTACCTCCCCTGAAGGGAAGTGGCTTGCTTGTCAGGATTAACTGCATGCAGTGTTAACTTCAGAGAAGCTTAAAGAAGAGACACTTACCATGCAGAAGCAGGAATTCAGGATATTGATCTACTGAAGTATAAATACAAGGAAGGAAAATAAAATGACAAAAGGCAATTTTAGGTCCTATTTAATGTTGAAGTTCATCCTTAATTGTTTTAGCATCTTAGCTGACTTGGAGGAACAGGGAGATTATGAATCACAGTGTGAAGAGCTTTCTGGTATTGCACCTTTTTACCCTGTTCAAGACCTCTCATGTACTATATTTCAAATCAAATGTAGCAAGGACTGTCTTTTACCTTCTGTGGAGTAAAGTTCTGTAATGGTCTTCCACTAGGAAGTAGTGGGGGCAGGCAAGAAAATGACTTTTTTTCTGAAGGTGGAGCTCCATGAGCTTGTGAAAGGGATTTTATAACCACATAATAGAATCATAATGACATAAAATTACACTTGTGATAAGAATCCTTGGGTTTGTGATACGCTGATGTGTTTGAGAGAATGTGAAAGAAGATTGCATAGCCATTTGTTTTCCTATATCTATCCCACATAAATCCCATGCTCAGGGCTGTTGCTAGTGGCCTGCTCAGGAAGGAAACTCCCACCCCCTTCCTCCTAGATATAATTTAGTTTCAGAGGCTTTTTTCTTTCCTACGTAGTACTGGCTATGTGCCACAAATAGAGACAGACTGGAGGCAAGACATGGCAGTACCATTTCATGCTTCTTGTTAGTGATACCTATAATTTGCTCCCAGTTAAACTGACAGACAGATTACTTGGAGACAAGGCTTGGTGACCCACCTAGTCCTTTGTCAGCGCAATGTCCCTATATGACAGACACATCCAATGGCTGTGCAGTCCTCAAGCTGCTCTTCTTGTAGACCCTGTGTGATAACCCAGTAACACACAAACCAGTGCTGGTTATTCCTGCTCCTAGTTGGTGTGTTTTAGGTTTCCTGTCATTTGGGCTGCCTATGTGAGATGCCTAACTCATCTGTTGGGTCTGCTTTTGTCCACAAGGAGCCAGGCCTGATGGTCTGAATAGATCCTCAACTGTCTTGAACCTAGACCATGTAGAAGTATCAGTGTCCACAGTGCCTCAAGAGAACATCTAAGACCATCCTGGCTTCAGAAGTTATTGCTTCTGTGCATTAAACTTTTTTTGGAAGAGAAAGTATTGGAATAGGTTCCTATCAGAGAAAGTCAGGATGAATCTGAACATCTTTGACTTGTGACTTTGTCTTTTGTTGGTGCCATGCTGATCCTTCGTAAATCCAAGCTGAGGCTTTCCTGGCTTTTTCTAGGTTCAGGAAGATCTTGTAACTAACTTCAAAAACGGCCAACCAGTTTTCCAGAGCAGCGGGCATGAGGCATTCCTCCACTGTGGACAGCTTGGGAGTGTTCACCTCTGAAATATGTGACTCTAAGAACAAAAACTCACCACCGGTAGATGAGACATGAATGGAACAAGGGCTATTATTTCTGCCCTGCATTTTCTTTCCCCTTTATTTTCTGTCTGTTTCTGCTTCCAACCCTTTCATGTCTTTTGGGGAAAATCTGCTGAATTTTATTAGCAATTATCATTGAGAAACACAGAGTAATTGTCCTAATTTATTAGAGGTGGGTTGTGTAGGAAGCTTTAGAGCTGGAGGCCATCAGGGATAGGACAGATAAAACCAACTCTCCTGAGTGTGAAAGGAGGCTGGTAACTTTTGGGCCGGCAAACTCCAGGCACCGGCAGACAGTCGGGTGGATTATAGGGGAAGCAGAGGAAATAGAAAGCTCTTTGGTTTGGCATTTCCTTAGTGTTTGATCTGAATTGGTCTAAAATACAGGCTTGTGGTGTCAGCCGTTCCTGCTTAGAGGCGGTCCCAGAAGCGCTTCGTGTGCCTTTTTGAAGAGGAGTAAGTGCTGTCTCTGAATGAGCCAGACCCACTGCTCCAGGCCGGCCGGTGACCGAGCCTGTGCCTGGAGATATCTAAGTGCACCTCCAGGGCTTTTATGCAGTCTGCAGAAAGGGTTCATAAGCTATGCAGGATCAAAGACAGCAACCTGACAGGCTGTGAGCATGCAGGTTATATGTTGTGTGGGGCAAGCAAGACTGTCTGGGCCCAAGCCCCAAGCCTCCTGGCCCCACCGGCATTGCCAAGCTCTGCTGGAAGAGTCTGAACCCAGCTGTGCTACAGAGGGGACCTTGATGGTGGTGTCATGCAGCTCATTGGTTTATGGGCCTGAAAACCACACTTACTTCTCAGGAACAGTCACTCTTTCTAGCGTCTTCTGTCCAGAGCACCTTCCCTGAAAAGTTTTTTCCGTTTTTGTTTTGAACAGGACTATGATATTTTTAGAGAAGAAAGAAATGGACGATGTGTTGTCAAAGTTAGCGGTGGCCAGGATTCACCTTGCCAAGGTGTACTGTAACCTTATTCTCAAACGAGGCATGGCATGGCAGCATCACATGCCTGGTGGAAAGTAAGTCAATCCCTTCTGGGGACTCTTGCTATGTCAAGGGCCGCAGCAGCCCAGGGACAGGGTCTCTGTTGAGTGACACAAGTGAATGCCTAAAGTAATAAATGTCTCGTTAGCCAAGGAGTCACAGAGGGCTAAGGGATCACAACACAGAGAAGTGTCCTGATCTCTCTGTAGCTCTGTCTCATCTCATAACCGACTCCAAAAGTGTTTCCGGTGAGCTGTTGCCAACTGATTTGGCCACAATGAGCAGCAGAGCTCTGGATACCAGACTGGAAAACTCTACCCCCTGGTATGCAGAAATGTTGCTAGGTATACAGAGCAGGAAACTTTAATGGGTTCAACATGAAAGTCAGCAGGGCAAGAATCAGTGCCAGCCCTGGATCTTACCCCTGCCACTTCTACTTAACTAAATCTTGAAAGCAAATGGTTATGTACCTGCTGGTTGCCACTGATCCCTGCATGAATTTCCTCTTATGCCAAGTCTAAGATAGCATAAGTCTAGTAAGTGAAGGAGGCCATGTTCCTGAAGGGCAGCAGGTGAAGGGAGTAGAGACAAGAAGAAGTTTTGCTTAGGCATTGAAAGTGTAGTACTCCTACCTCTGAATGGGGAAGATGGTGCATGGCTTTTTCGGAGTGGTAGAGACCAACTGCTCTTGAGATGTGATGGTCCCAGCAGTGAACTGAAAGGGGAGAGAAACCCATAGTGGGGATTAAAAAAGAAACTGAGGAAGGCAGGAGAGGATGGGAGGGTGTTTTAGAAGGCAGAGAAACCAAAGGAATGATGAGGATGAGAAAAGGGGAGTTTTAAGAGGTGATGAAGGCATTGTGGTTTCACCCTGGCCGGCAACTAAGCACCACAAAAAATGGTTAGTGGAAGGAGAACGTAATGACAGAGAGATCATGCACTATGCTAGTATTAGGGACTCTTTCCTCAACCATGTATGTTCCTGCACAATGTTTCCCTTCCCTGGCAGTAGAAAGGAGCTGGCAGTCCCCACCAAGCCCCCCAGTCCCATGGGATCTTCTCAGAGCAGTTTCAGGCAAATTTTTTCAGTCAGTTGGTATGAAACTGCTGCCAGTCCCCCAGAGGAGTCACAAACATTCACCTGCCTTCCTGCAACACAGCTCCGGGCAACTTTGCTCTTGGCTGGGGTGGGACAACCTGGGTTTCCTTCTAATCAAGAGGAGAAGGTAACTCGTGAAATGGTGAAGTCAAAGAGGAGCTGAAATCGCTGTCCCAACAGGGCTTTCATTTTAGTATGCCCCATCCCACAAGGTGCTGGACCCTGAGAATTAAGAATGTGTTCCCTCTGTATCCTGGCACATCTGCATTTCACCAGGCACTCCTGGGAGCTGCCTTCTCTGCCAAATCCCTGCTTCCAGATTCCCATTGAGCAGAGGCATCCTCTTAACCTTCTCACTGGTTGGACAGGGAGGCTCATGACAGAATTTCATTATTTCTGTTGGGTGGCCCTAATGTCTGCAATTTATGAGATTCAGTTGGAGGAACTTATTGCAGAAAGTAACTTGAATCCAAGAACTGGATGCAGCTGGATGAAAGACCCTGTTGTATATCCAGCTAGTTAGCTCTGCTACCTCTTCACTCACTCGTATTGTCTGGTGGATGGGAATGTGCAGAATGGAGGCAAGCAGGAGGTCTAGTGGCAAAAAACCACCAGCATGGGAGTGAGAGCAGAGAGCTGAAACAAGAAACTCTGTTCTTTAATATTTTGATCATGGTGGGGGTTAGAGGCTGGCATTGGGTTGGGATGTTGGTGTCCAGGCTGTGAAAACACAAAAGCTAGAAAAGAGCTGTGTCTTAAAGCCTTCATGATATAAGGTGATGTATGAATCATAGAATAGTTTGGGTTGGAAGGGACCTTTAAAGGTCATCTAGTCCAACCCCCCTGCAATGAGCAGGGACGTCTTCAACTAGAGCAGGTTGCTCAGAGCCCCGTCCAACCTGACCTGGAATGTTTCCAGGGATGGGGCATCTATCACCTCTCTGGGCAACCTGGGCCAGTGTTTCACCCTCATTGTACAAAATTTCTTCCTTTTATCTAGTTGAAATCTACCCTCTTTTAGTTTAAAACCATTACCCCTTGTCCTATCACAACAGGCCCTGCTAAAAAGTCTGTCCCTATCTTTCTTATAAGTCCCCTTTAAGTACTGGAAGGCTGCAATAAGGTCTCCCCGGAGCCTTCTCTTCTTCCGGCTGAACAACCTCAACTCTCTCAGTCTGTCCTCACAGGAGAGGTGTTCCACTGAAGAGAGACTTCACTGAGTTACTCATAGCAGGGTGGTGGTAGCTGATTACAGCTGACTTCAGAATTAGGCTAATGCTGAGCATGTTATAATATATGGCACTTCCCATACCATACTGCAATTATATAAACATAATCTTTTCCAGGCTGACTCAGTTTAGCCTTAAATGTTATCTGGATCCTCCCAGACCATTAGATGAATTGCCAAGAACAAGAGCTAAGGGACAGAACTGATTAACACTCTTAATTATAAAAGATGGATAGGAATTTTTTGAGCGCATACGTTTTTGGATGGGAAAGGTCTTTGTCAAAATAGAAACTGTGGGAAGGGTTACTTTTGATGATTTTTTTAACTTGAAAAATGTTTAGATTAAAAAACTGAGAAACTATTGATAATGTACCACCCCCAGTTTTACTATATTTTCTTATAGCCCAACTGTGGGTTCATGATGGTGTTGAAGCTTCTGCTTTTCACTCTAATTCACCATAGCAACATTTTAATGAAATCTTATATTAAGTTGGTAAACTGCATTCCCTTCCAGATCTGCCAAATGTTTATGTGTTCATATGAAATCATTTATTCTTCATGTAAAGGTTTCCTCTGAAAGTTTAAAAAGGGAGGCTTAGGTGGGGAACATCTTCATTTTAACAATTTACATGATTTGTAAAATACAGCATTAAAATCCAATCTTGATACTATCCCAGACTGGAATTTGAGAGAGTTCTTCCAGACCTGTTATTTGTTTGTGTTAGCTTTAGTCCTTTTGTGCCTCCAACGCTGAGGAAGGAATAGGTGTGTCTGGCTTTCTCCTTTTAAGTTGATGGGGGTTGTGCAACCTTTTTGTGGTGCCAGTTTCCTTATGGGCATTTGTCATAATGGGAAAAATACAGAGTGTTCCCAAGGCTGCATGCATCAATGGCACAAACGCAGTCGAGCCAGCCCTTACTGATCCTTGAAGCTGGCTTGATCCATGGTCAGTTAGTCACAGCGGTGGTGGAGGGAGCACCAGAAGCATTTCTTCCCCATGTGCCTCTATGCACAACAGTAGTTCCTGTAGATGTCTGAAGTCACTATCATCTTGCATCCAAACCCCACGCTTACTGCCTTGTCTGCCCTTGACGGTACTGTCCTCTTTTACGCATGAACTCATCCCGTTTCCCTGACAGCTATGAGAAATCAATATTACTGTATTTCTAGAGGGCATGATGTTCTTTTCTCACTCATTCACATTTCTTACAAGTCCCATCCTGAATCTTGTTGCAAGTTTGATGTTTTCCTGACCGTTTCTGTATTTTCCTAGGTAATTAGCAACTGTGCCCTAGACACGGGAGGTGCCTCCTAGTTCAACACTTATTTTAGGAAACTTTACTTCAAGCAGGTCTCTTAGCTTAATACCTCACCTGAGGGAAGAAGGCACTGGGAGAAAGAAGGGTGGAGACCCCTGTCCTTATTTGACTGTAATTATTAGCGTTATTTTCTGTTGCTTACCTAGGTTTCTCTGCTAAACTAGGGACTAGTTCTAAGACACTGCGTAAGCTGTGTAATGTTAAAAGGTGAAGCTGGGTTTCATATTTAGGTTTAATAAGATGGGGTCACTTTAGGTTTCTTTGCTCTGGTATTCTGAAGACAGAATACTGTGCTTTACCAGAATTAATAAGGAATCACAAGCATCAGCTTTGTTCTGGGAGTTCTGCTTTGGCAAATGGCCATGCCATGCTTGCAGAGTCAAGCTTCTTTTCCCCTGCACAAAATGTAAAGTGTCAGCAGGATTATGGCTGGTGGGACCAAGGTAGGGAGATACATGGTCTTCTTGATCAAAAAATCAATAAATAAAAGTCAGAAGATGGTAAATAGAGCTATAGGACTGAAAGGTATTATCTTCACGGTCTGCTCTACATTGATGTTTCTGGGGTGACAGTAGCTGCGGATGCCCTAGATGTATGGAACACTTGATGTTATCAGGAAGACAAGGGACATGTCAGGAGTGGGTGAGTTGATGCAGAGACACTTTTCTGTGCATCTGGCAGGACCAAGCCAGGTCTCTGGGGAACTGTAGGCTAGCAGGGAAAATTTGCTTTCATTTCCATGAGACTGAGTTGTGCCATCTCCAGGAGAATTGAATGGCTGCTGGAATGTGTGCATCACCCTCTGCTTTAATGGCCATTTCCATGATGGACAGTCATTTGGCTTTGTGTGAGAATCCCAGGGTTCAAGTTGGTGGTGAGAGCATCTCTCAGGCTTTCACTGGGCAAATTGTTGCTTCTTTAACAAAGTCCCTTTGTCAACCTGCCAGTTGACACGCCCGAGGAACAGGATGCCATCCAGAGGGACCTGGACAAGCTCAAGAAGTGGATCTGTGTGAACCTCATGAGGTTCAACAAGGCCAAGTGGAAGGTCCTGCTCATGGGTCGGGGCAACGCATAGTATCAATACAGGCTGGGGGATGAAGGGATTGAGAGCAGCCCTGCCAAGAAGGATTTGGGGGTACTGGTGGATGAAAAGCTGCACGTGAGCCGGCAATGTGTGCTTGCAGCCCAGAAGGCCAACTGTACCCTGGGCTGCATCCAAAGCAGCATGGCCAGCAGGTTGAGGGAGATGAGTGGGTCCAGAGGAGGCCACAGCAATGATCAGAGGGATGGAACACCTCTCCTCTGAGGACAGGCTGAGAAAGTTGGGATTGTTCAGCCTGGAGAACAGAAGGCTCTGGGCAGACCTTATTGCAGCCTTCCAGTACTTAAAGGGGGGCTTGGAAGAAAGATGGGGATGGGGGGGCCTAAAAAGGCAGTTGTGATAGGACAAGGGGTAATGGTTTTAAACTAGAAGAGGGCAGATTTAGAGTAGATAAAATGAAGAAATTTTGTACAACGAGGGTGGTTAAACACTGGCACAAGTTTCCCAGAGAGTTGGTAGATGCCTCATCGCTGGAAACATTCCAGGTCAGGTTGGACGGGGCCCTGAGCAACCTGCTCTAGTTGAAGCTGTCCCTGCTCATTGCAGGGGGTTGGGCTAGATGACCTGTAAAGGTCTCTTCCACCCCAAACTATTCTATGATTTTATGATTATATGATTCTATGATTCTTGGGTATATTTTACAGTTCTTGGAGATATATCAGGCATTTCCTTCCTGGTTTTCAAGTTTATTGTTTCAGCATTGGCCTGGCTTTGTGCCCCCAGTAACTCTGCTCATTGCTCTTCCAGTGATATCAGGAAGAGTTTTTTTATTGACTTCAGTGGGAACTGGATTAGATCAGTGCTGACCACTTTTGAGAGGCCCATGCAGAGAGCTCCGTCTAGATAGCATAGCAGGGGAGCCTTGTCTGCTCATCACATCCAGCTTTGTTCTCTGTCAGATTTAATTAACTGAGCCATACAATATTTTGCATTTTCTCCTTCTGAGGCAATGCAGAACTCCTGCCTTTCTCTTGGACAGTGGGTCTCCGCATGCTAGTAATGAGGATCTACCAGCAACAACTTTATTGCCCTGGTGAAATGCCAGCTTGGCATAGCCCCATGAGTCATATTCAATGCTCTCTCCAGAGAACTGAAAGGACAACTGCTGCTATTAATTTTTTGCTCTTGTTCACTGCCTTAGGAGAAAAACATCATTGCAGAAAGATCGGGGCTTCTTTGAGGTAAGAAAGACACAAAGATATACAGAGAGTGTGACTGAGCCCAGAGCATGTTCCTCCCTTGCACATCCAAATGCTCCTTTCATGTTTGGTTTCCCCAGTAGCTTTCTTGTAAGACAGAATACCTAAAATAAAATTTTACCTCTAGGGCCTAGATGTCCCTGTAAAATACCATCTCTTTGCCCTTCAGCCAAGCCTTTTCCCCTTGGAGCCCTCAGTTGAGGAGTTTCAATCCCTCTGTGGCTCTCAGTCCTCAGGCAGTTCCCACCACAGCCTGAGGTCCCTCTGGGAAGTCTGGTCTATAAGTTTCTTCTCATCATTGGCCTCACAGTTTCATCTCTGTAGGTAAGAAATTTTACAGCCTTCTTTTATTTCCATTGCCCTTGGCCTCATCATTGGCCTCACAGTTTCATCTCTGTAGGTAAGAAATTTTACAGCCTTCTTTTATTTCCATTGTCCTTGGTGACATTTCTAGATGCCAATAAGCTCTTCTGGCCTGCAACATACAGCTCGATCAGCTATTTATGAGACTCACTATGCGGCAGGGCTTCAGCAAATTAATGCAAAACAGCTGCCCCCAAATTACACTTTGTACTTCATAAACTGGGAAGCCTTTCCTTGAAAGAGGGTAACTATGGAGTCAATTCCAAGGATACACAGCAGTCCCAACGATGCCATCTTTTAAAGAACAGACTTAGTAGAGATTCGTTTTTTTGGGATTTGATTCAGCTTGTGCTAGGGATCACAAATGTTAAATAAGAGTGAAAAGTGAGATTTTGTTTTTTTAATCAGCAACGAGACGTAGGGGTGAGATGTGATGAGTTCATTTTTGGTAGTAATATTTTCTGTGATCATAATGCTGTCATTCGGGGTGGGAATTTTCTTGTCTACCTGCAGCTGCCCAAACAATAGCTGTCCAGTCAGACCATGCCCTTCGGCTGTCTTGACAGTCAATGCAGAAAAGAGAAGCTCAGCCAGAGGGTGAATTGTTGCCTCTTGAGATAGACGCATGTGATAGGAACCCCCACAGAATGACTCATCCCATCAGTCTCTTTCCATTGATTATTGAGGGAAACTGGGTGGTGATCTCAGGTTGTCTTCTTAGTTTCTAGCAGCAGGACTAAGCCAAACTGGTCAGAGTTGAGCAAGATGAAATTCATCTGAGGGAACTCTTGTTTCTAGCCGCATCTGCCTGCATACCTTTAAAAACTCAGTCCTTTCAAATCTTCACCAATGCATGGTAAAGTTTGATGCCAAATGGTTGCAGGCATTTTAGTGGAGTCATGCCAGCCTGCACTCTGGGATGCAGTGGGACTCTGGGCCTTTTCCCAGTGAAAAGGGGACCTGTGTTTTCAATTTAGGGCTTCTACAACTTCTGCAGCTATGTGGCTTGGCTTGTGTTCAGACGGAAGCACTTCCAAGTGATTCGGGAAGAAATCGGCAGGCTTCTTTGCTCCAACATGTTCAATCCCGCCTTAAGAGACAGGAGCAATGCTGACTTGCAGAAAGCAGGAGACCGGACTGCTGATGCAGATACAGTGCGGTTGCCATATCTGAGGTAGACATTTGACACATTGGTGAGTCCTTAGGGAACCTGCCTTGTCTGAATACACTGAGTTAACACCTGCATTTGTTTTCTTTCAAGAAAAGTCCATGCCAAGCATCATTCCATAAACAGCATGGTTCACCAGCGCTCACCAGTGCTCAGGACGCTGCTGCCCTTACCAAAAGACAGTGCTCAATATCGCTCCCAGAACCACTTCTGCCGGGGCAGAGACCCTCAACCCTGCAGATGTGATGGACTGCCGGACTTCTCAGAATTGTTCACTACCAAGTAAGGGGCTATTTCTCTGCATGAACAGATTTGGTAGTGCTATGAGGAAGGATAGCGGACAGCTAGCTCTTCCTCATCAGGAGAGAGGCCATTGGACTGAGGACTTGGTCTACACGGGAGTTAGAAAGGGACAGGACTATAGGCAAGACAGGCATAGGTGAGCCTGAAACTTGCAGATGTAGTACTCTTGGTTAACTGATGGCAAAGCAGCTACTGTCCATTGCAGTGCTTTGTTAAGACTCAAAAGTTTTCTGGGGAAAGGGAATATGCTTTAACATAAATTTGAACAGAAATTAATCAAAACCTCTCAAAATCAAAATGGGATGTTTTTTTTTTCCCCTCTTATGATTCACTGATTTCTTATTTCTTCTTGGCTGTTACTTTTTAATAGTGTTCTGATCAGACATTACTGATGTATTTTATTCTGACAAAGTAATTTTGTTACTACATTGTACTTTTAAAATATAATTTCAATTGTAATAAAAATAGAACCAACATTTTCAAGCCTGAGTACGCCATATGAGAGAATTCCATTCTCCATCCAGCCATGGTTAGCAGAAGCATTTCTACAGTACTTTTTAATGTGATAACTCATGTAAACAGGACCACCGTAAATCAGTTTTGCTCTGTTGAAGTGTATCTAAGGCCCCCTGTAAGACTTTCCCACATAATCTTTTTTTTTTGGCCTGGAAATTAGAATTTGAGAATTGCCTTAATTTGTCTAGATCTTGCAGAGTTCTGTCAATCCAATGAATGCTACAGCACTGTACATACAAAATCTTTGGTCATATCTACAACACACGACCAGCAAGTCTGGTATTTCTTGAGAGTGTGAAATTTGCTACAAATGCACATGTAATTGTTTTGTGCATGCTTTGGAAGCTGGGTGCATCCTGAGCATCTTGGCTTTATAGCATATGCATAGAGTCATGTAATTCCTATGCAGTAGGGCCAACCTTTCCAGGAAGAGCTGAGCTTCACTTGGATGTGTGCAATTCATGTTGTGTGCATGCACACTCTAGACAGAAACATGATGTGGTGTGCAGGTGCTGAGGGTACAAGAATGGTTATTTGTTTTCCCCTGGGGGAGAGCCGATAGTCTCTGCATAATGTGTCATGCACAGTCCAGGTAAAGGAGGCAAGGTTCCTTCCTCGTTTACCTAGGAAACAGCACAAATCTGTCCCCCTTTCTCCTGTTTTCCTTTGCTTCGTTGTGTCAAGCAGACTAACATGATGTTTTCTAACAGGGTGGGCATCATTGGGGCGCATTGTAGTGAGTTGAAATCTTTTATGACCATGCCTGATGGGCCAATGGAGGAAGAAGAGGAGGAGAAAGAGGAGGAGGAGAAAGAGGAGGAGGAGGAGGACAAGGAGGAGGAAGAGGAAAAGGAAGAACAAGAACAAGAACAAGAACAAGAACAAGAACAAGAACAAGAACAAGAACAAGAACAAGAACAAGAACAAGAACAAGGAAGAATAACAAGTGTTTTCTCCATCCTGACAAATTACCTCAGTTTGCCACCTCTGAGAAGCCGCCGGAACAGGCTTGGCAGTCGGAGCACCGTCCTCACAAGAGCAATGGCAGAAGGCGACTGTAATCAGAGTAACTAGCAGAAGTGGTATCTTCTCATGTTGAGTGGCATGGTTTCACATTGCTAAGTAAATCACTTTGAAATTGCAGCTTAAGAAGCCTAACTCATTTGTCAGAGGTGGGGTAGTTTAGCACACAAGGGCCTGGACTGGGTGACTGGACTGTAATTCCTGGTTCTGTCACTAACTATTTTTCCTTGATCTGAATGCCTTCGTTGCACCATTTCGAAGAAGATTATTTTACTGACTTCATTTGGGAAGTGCTTTGACACCTGCAGATGAATATGATTCTTGATTTTAATGTCAACCCTCTTTTTCTAAAGGGTTAGCAAAACAACCAGGAGACATGACTTACTACAGTCTAAAAGTTGCTGAAATTCTGCTTTTGAAGGAAGTTACTCTGCAATCTTTAATATCTTGTGTTTACTTTTTTTTTATTTCCATCATCTCTCATTTTGTTCTCAGATATAGCTAGCCTAATTTATGACTCTTTGTGAAATAAGCATAGCAAAGAGGAATGCTGTTACTTAAAATATCTACCAGGCCTTCATTTAATTTTATCTTTTTGATGATATGTGTATATATATATATTTCTTTTAATCATTGATTTTACATGATTGGGAAAGCAGATCTTGGATGTTAAAGCTTAAAATACGCTGTTGAGATGTCATTATCTTTAAACAAAATGAATTCGTGGTAAGAAATGGTATCATTTTACCTATAAGACTATCTGAACATGATAATCATTAGCATCAGGAGGAAAATTTAGGATGAAATCCTGATTTTGTCAGAGTCAGTAAGAATCAATGAAAAAAGAATGCATGATTCAACAGTGGAAGCAAACCAGAGAGGTAATATTTTCATTATTGTTAAGAGAAGAAATCTGACATATTAGTGATGGTTTGGAAGGTTTTCATCAAAATATCTCTATGCTGGATAAAAATAATGCAATTTTCCCTTGCAATGTGTGGTTCAGTTTGTAAAAGGGTGAAATTTTGCAGCACAATTATGATGAGAAATGGACTTCTTCTGGAGTAACCAGTAGTCCAGGGACTGGTTCACTTATGTGGGATGGCCCTGCGCTGCCGTATTGAGACAGACACTTGAACTGCAGATTCACAGCTGTTATTTAGTCTCTTCACTTAGACTGTCACATGTTATATTAATGCCTAAGTACCTTTGTGGCCTTGGCTTCTTTTCCTTGTGTCAGGTGAGTCCTTTTACCATTGTATGAGGCTGTTGTGGCCTGCAGTTTCTCTCTCAAGCTTTTCATTAGCCATCTGTTCTGGTACAGAGCAAAAATATTTAAAAATAGCCTCTTAGAAATTTTGAGGGATGGAAAACATGTATTCTCTCCCAAAGGAGAAGAAATATAAAAAATATATTTAGAAGTGTGCGAGACTGCTATATCTTCCTTATATACATGATGTGGAATGGTACACTCTTTATTCAAAATTAACATTTATAGGTTATACATTCATTTTGCATAGGCAGGATAGTGCTCATATCATCTGAAAAATGGTGACGAGACCTTGAGACGGTGCTTTAGTTGCAGGTTTTCTGAGATCCTGGCTGGGCCAAAGCATGTGCAAGTGCCGTTCCCGGCTGCGTGGGTGACTCCGGTATGGTGCACACCTGGCTGAACACGCAAGAGGCAATTGCTGGTATCGCTGCCCTGCAGCAGCATGGTTTCGCTACCAAATGGTGCAGCAAGACGTTGGCTAATACCTGGAGCTGAGGGAGGCTACAGCATAGCTTCCTTCTCTTACTCTTGGGAGAAACCTTTCAGTATCTGCATTAGGAAACCTCTACATGCCAAAGGATGGATACAACTTTGTCTCTCTGGCTGTGACACCAGGCCTTCTCTGATCTGTGGGTGGACATCCCCATACGCTCGTCCTTGCAAAAGCGCCCTGCTTTGCCATGGCAAGCAAAGAGGCGTTGTATGGGGCCTTAGAAAGAGCATGAGGGAAAGGTGTCCTTTGCCACATCAGTCCTGCAGGGCAATGTTGATTATGGTATGTGCTAATAACTGGGATTTGTGAACAGTCCCAGCAGTGCCTGGGGCAGAGATTTCACAGAGTAGTACACGTGGCCTGTGGTGGGCCCGGGACAGCAGGAGAAGACCAAAGGGTGAAGCACGCACTCACGTAGGCAGCAAAGCTCCTGGATGCAAACAAGCTTTTTGTGCACTGTCACTTCCCTACAGGGTCTGTGTCACTGCAGAGAGGAGGAAGCGCTGAGCACCTACCGGTGTGCTCAAAAGCAGTCAATGAGCTACTCAGGCCGAGAGATGATGTTCAACATGCTATGTTTGCCCCTCTCCAGATTCAGGGCAGGTTTCTCACAGTCTTCTAAAGGGGAGCAGCCCCATGGAGCTGCTTTCTTGTCATGAAATAGTGAGCAACAAGTGACTGCTTTTGGCACGCCATTTCCCTTGGACAAAAGGCAGCTCCGGACCAGGTATGGTCTCTGTTACTTCTCTTTGCACCTAGAATATGCTGTCTGGCTCACTCTGCAGGAATTACCTGAAGTAACCTTCTTGGTTACTCCAGAAGAAGGACCAACTCATGATGGTCCTCGTGAGTTCTGGTTTTAAAGTGCTGTGATCCTCAGCCAAGCCCTCAGCCATGGCTTTGGGTCTAAGCTTTCTGTGGTAATCTAACAACAACCTTGAACTTTCCAGAAAGGATTGAGAAATACCTTGAAGTGCAGATCCTTTAGTCAGCAGAGTCCTTTCCAGGGCTGCCTTCTCAGCGTTAAGTGTCTCCTTCTTCTGAGGTAATGTATGTCTAACACAGACAACCCATGCTTGTTTAAGCATGTAAGCAAGGCCTGGCAGCCTTTCACACATGACAGTGAGTCATCTTTCCAGCAGGAGAGAGTGAGTCAGAGAGGGCAGTTGACAAGCTTTATTTATCGGTCTCCTGTTATTTGGCCCAGGAGGATTTTACCCAGAAAAACCCACCCTTGTTAATGACAGGCAGAGCTCAAACTTGTGTCATACGACTACTGGCTTTTTTTCCCCATAAGCTTTGCATGCAGTTTCATATCAGGAAATCATGGCAGGCTGGCCTTTTCCATGAACTTTTGTTTTTAAAGGGTTTCTGAACATGCCAGCTATATTGGAATAACTTGCCGGAGCTAGGGTTACCGTAAAGAGTACAAACTCAAATGCCTCCCTGTGATGAAAAGAGCCTGGCAGGTTCTGTGCAACAGGGTTTATAGAGTTCCCATTTACTTTCTTCTCTGAGGGGTGCTTTGCTCAGAGCCTTAATTGAATGCTGTTAGCATGGCTTGGTGTCTTGACTGGCTTTTGATTATGGTTCTGCCACTCATAGGCTCCATATAGGGTGTGTCAGGCTTTCCAGTTGCAAGTGTCTATTTTCAGAAGTTATATTGCTCTGTTATAGAAATTCACGCCAAGCAGAAAGTTGGCAGGAAACATCGCAACTCAGAGATGGAAAAGGAGACAGAGAAAAAAAATCTGCTTGATGATTAATTAAGGAAACTCTGCCCTTGGGGGTTTCAGGCTTTCCAGCTGGGAGAGAGATGGCAGTGTAGCAAGGGGAGCCATCTAGTTGTGGGGTGACCATACTGTGTCGTTGGGTGTCTTGAGGTATGGAAGGAAGCTCAGGCCCATTCTACTCATGTTGCAGGGGGGTTTGGAGCAGTAACCTCTGAAGGCAGCAACCACGTAGTAGCAGGGCTACGGGGTTCAGCAAATTCTCTGTGAGCCGGCATGGCAGGACCTGGAGGTCTCGCAAGTTCCTTGCCTCTGGTCTCTCTGGTTCAGTCCTGTTCTTCTTGTCCTGTTAGGGGCCAGTGTCTGACATACAGGGAAAAGTGAGGCTGTCTGAGCCTGCCCATTTTTCTGTGCAAAAGAGACAGGCCAAAAGCAGCATCTCTTCCACAGTTTTTTTTTCCATTTTTGCTTGGACTCATACAGGCAATTTAGTAGTGTTAAGCCCCAATGAGATCAGGGTACTAACACTCCTGTATGCATTCAGGAATGTGGCTCTTTCTTTGTTACTACTCGTCAAGTGAGGACTCCGTGGGTGCTGCAAGTGGTGAAAGATGCCATCGTGTTTCCTGATCCTGCCAGTGTCCCCTTTCTGCCTGGAGCAGGGAGGAATATTTTTTGGTCCATCTTCTTTCCCTTCTCAGATAGACAAAACACTCCATGAATCTTTGACAGAGCTCTGAAGATGCTTCTTATTGCTCCTGTTTGTTCTGTGGCTCATCTCCCTTGCCCTCTCAAAGCCAAAGCTGCACCAATCAACCAACCTTCCAGCCAAGGAGGACCAACAGCAGCTCCTTTGTACAGACAGCTGGCACCATCACCTCACTTGCTCTTCACCTGGGGATGGGCGTGTTGCTTGTGGTGCCTCTTTACCTGCAGGTGTCCTGGGGGAAAGAGAGCAGCAGTCAAACTGGAAATTGGACCAGGCAGTGATTTGCAGTAGGAAGAGAGGTTGTCAGTCTGGATTTCCTTAAGCAAGGCTTGCAAGTGTTGGTGGTATGTGTTCCTGCTCTGGCTAGGACTAAGGCCTTCCTCTTGGAAGCAAACTGCATTGGAAGCACCATGTACCAGCTACAGCTCCTGTGGCTTAGACTAAATCCTGAATGTTTGCAGTGAGATTTTTACAGCTTGAAGCAAAGAAACCAAACTGAAATTCTCAGAATGTGAAGATGTTCTTACCCTAGTTCTTCTTCCATGTGAGAGAGAGCATTTAAAGGTCGAAGAACAGGCTGTAAGTATACTGTCACCTGTTACAGCCTTTCTGTTTGGAAGAGACACATAATATGAATGTAGTGTATTTCTCCCTGTGATCTTGTTTATTTACAGAAGGATAAAGAGAGCCTTTCCCCTTTTCCTTGAATACAGTAGAAACAAACACAAACAAGTAGTTTCTGGACATACATTCCCAAGTCTGCTGGTCCTGGCAAGGTCTGACCTCAAAAGGGTCTCCCTCTGTGTGGCCCCTTGCTTTTCTCTCCTGTATCAAGCCATCACAAGC